TAAATGATTACATAGCTCTCAAATAATTATCGTTAAAATAATAATAATAATATTAAATACATGATGTGCGATCACTTTTTTTTTAAAGTTTTTCTTTTTAAAAAAAATAAAAAACGTATTGCCTACAAGGAAAAAAAAAATCAGATCCATGATAAACATTTCGGGAATAGAGTTCTTTTTTTATGTTAAACTAGAAATGTGGAGGAGGGAGCTAAAAAGCAAACAAGAGAAATTACTACGAGCGGTGTATGACTAAAGGTGTACTTCGTTTTTTTTTTTTATTTTATGTAATTGCTAATATTCTTAACTAAACAAATGTTCCTTTTTTTTATTACTATGCTTCTTTAATCACTCTTAATATGAATGGTTTTAGAAGTGTGTTCACTACTCTAGAAAAAAAGAGATTTATTCAATTTTTCTCTGATCCGATCATAGTTTTGATAGATGTGAGTTGCCTGATTAAATTTTGTCAATTGAAGGAAAAAACAAAAATCAGCTGCTCTGTTGAACATTGTAAATATATATATATATATATATTATATATATATATATACATACACATATATTCTTCATCGTACAAATAAATTATTTATTAGTTGAAGAAACAACTAGTATGCACGGTTAAAAGTTTATTTTGAATACAAAGCTATAAAATGGGACAAATACTGAGGTAAGACAAATTTTAAACTTCAATAAAAAGATTATTCGATAACATCTGTTGAGATGTTTAAAAAATAACTTAGACTTCGAATAAAAAGTTTTAGAATAAAACGTTACAATAATACTTAAAACAAAGTAGTATTCTTATATCTGTTGCTGATTACTTTACTTAACATATTTATCCATTATCATGTATGATGAACGTCTGTTTTAATCTTCAAAAATTTTCAATGAAGTAAAGCATTTTTTTTTTTTTACTTCTCTGAATAGTAGTACCTCTTTAATAATCATTTTTTTTGTGTTTTTAAACTATACTCAGTTATCTAAATGAGCTCTTGTTAATCATTCATACAAAATATATTTATTTACATTTATATTCATCTTTACCAGTGTATAATTACCTTCCTTTCTTCTTCTATAAAATCTTTTCATTTTAATGTTTATTTAACTGTTTGCTACTACGAAAATCCCATTAAATAGAATTTTTTACTATAAAATAATCCACTTGTCATATAATATGCAAAAATCACATTTTTACAGTATACACCTTAGACTTCATTTGATGAAAACTGTTATCGATCTCATATTTTGAATCATTACTTATATATATTTCTTTACTTACATATGTTGATATTCTAATATCAATTTCTAATCTTCATCAAAATTTTGTGGAAATAGAAGCACAAATTAGATGGTTGATAATAAAAGAATCTACTTCATCTTCAATAAATACATGCTGAAGGTATTGTTTAGATACAAAGAGTTTTAAAATTAAATAATTGTAGTTTTTTTAGATTAAATGAAACTTCAAGTCTTTTTTTTAAAAAATTCGACTAGAAGAGTATGATGGAATGAGATTTAGAAGTGATTAGCGGCTGCTTTGAATATTAAAATACACATTGAAGAATATTGTGAAAAATTGAATTCTAATCAACATCCTAAGATTTTTACAGATATTTTATACTTTTTTATTGATTTTAATTTATTTCTTAATTTTAGCTCAAATATATGGCACGATATTTTCATGTAATGAAACCAGATTATTAATTAAATAAACACCGTTATCTGTATTTTGCGTAGGCGTTCTGCAAGGATTGTAAGAAATTTCCGTGTAGAGTGTCTATTCAAGGTATTGAATACGGAGACAACGGCAACAATTTAAAATCTAATATATATGAAATTTTTTATCTTTCCTGATGTGTTTATCAGCGATTGATGGATAGTAGACAAAGTTTTATGTTAAACTGAAATAAGTTAATAAGTTTTCGACAATATTTCCTTGAATCGATCTAAATTATATGGCCAAACTAATTAATTAGATGATACGAAAGATTTATACCAGTTTAATGACTGACTGTCTTTGTTTTCTACCTTTGTTCGTTTTTTACTCTTCCTTATTAAATATAGTTCAAAAAAGACAGAAACCAAGAGTAAAAATATCTTTCATATTTTATCATCTTTATAATTCGTTTTTTTGAACAAAAATAGCATAACTTAAATATGGAGAACTATTATGGTACTTCATCAGAAAATTTACATGAGGGCAACCAATAATTCAATTTTTTTCATAGTTCTTCAGACATATAAAAAAAGATCTGGATTTTGATATTTTCTTGTAATATAATAAATAATTTGCGCACACGTCACCAGCACTGATAGACAGCGTCCTCTATCCTAACGAACTATGCATTTTATTTCTGATTCGAAGAAAACTTTCAGGCATCAAAAATGAATGAAGAAAAAAAATGAAAGCGATGTCCTAGATCAAATGGGATCTGTGGCTCGTACCATGTTATATTACTAATAATACTTTACTTCTTTCAATAAAGAGAAGAAGATAGCTTAGAATCATGAGTTTTTCTAATGAGATGTGTAATCAAAGTGGACTAAATCATTTTTCTCTGAATTTTAACACCTGAAGTGGCACTTTCCATTTTACTCTAAAACACGAAGTGGACAAAGTGGTTTTAATGCAAATTTTCGGCAACAACATTTGTAAAACAGTTTGACTTGGCCAGAAGAATAAATAGTTTTTATTCGATTTCTATGGGACGATTTATAAGAGGCAAGGGACTAAACCACTAAGATCTTATCGTGGCAAAGTTATTCAGAGAAAAACAATGTGAAAATCCAAAAAGAAACGTAGTTGTCTTTATTTTCAAAGTAAAAAGAGTGAAAATCGTTTTTATCCAGAATGGAAGGCCACTCTGTTCCCACAGAGATCATTGATTGTTAGAAACATAGAATCATCACACTATAAAGACCCTAAAAGGAATGACAGCGACTAATATTGTTAATACACGGTTGTTTTCATGGCCATAAGTATAAACGGTTCTGTAAGAGTTAATATTAAAAGACTACATAAACGACGATAATAACAAAAATACAAATATTGTTTTTAATTTTCAGTTCCTTTAAAGACAAAGGTAGACAAAATTTTTGTTATTCGGTTTAATTTAGTTTAACGGAAGAGTGATCGAAAATAAGGCAAGCTGTTTCTAGATTAAAGGAGAAAAACCATTTTCAAAACCAAAGTGCATGAAAAAGACGCGAAGTACTGTGAGTTGATACTCTTTACTTAATTTGTTTTTCTCGGTTTATATTTCAAAGTTTGTCTCTTTTATTTTTATTATAGTGTCATACAAGCTATTATCGTCAAAGAATTGCAGTTGAGTGTCCCATTTGTACCTTCCTTCGTTCGAATTGTTCCTATATTTTCTTTTCGCTTTACGACGAAACGAAGTCAGGCGATCGTACTTGTTGTAATACATTTTTTTAGACTTTGTATTGCAAAATGAGTACATTGTCACTCATTTTTGTTTCCTTTTTTTAGATAAAAAATGTCTTCTTGGGGAGCAGTCGGTCAAACAAAATTAAAAATTTGAGCCCGATCGGATGAGTTTTTGTCGTAGTGTGGTGTGAATGAAAAACAGTTTTTCTTAAAATCTCCGGAAGGATGATATAGATAAAGAGCTGAAATCAAAAAGAAAATGTACCCAAAAGAGTTTTTTATCTACCCTGAAAATATGAACCCTTTACGGTGTAATAATAAACGGTGATTTATGGCGGCATAATTGGATAATGATGTGAATACATCTGATACTGGTGTACTGTTCGAGCATTCATTTTTGAATTTTATACGGTTATAAAGTAGTATGTACTGGTACAAAGTTTATTGTACATTTACTAACTGCCGTGTCACACGCATGTGGTAACGGCACTACGTTTTTTCGTGATGAATATTATGAGTGAAATTTAGATTCTTATCAAAAATAATTGTGCAATTTCAAAAACAGTTACATCAGCTGGTAGGATTCAGTCGTCGGTAGCCTGTGTTATACATTTTCTTTAAGCATACGAAGTAGAGAAACAAATAGCTGCAGCAACAATAGAGACAACGTCAATTTGTCGTCGAAGTCAACAACTGTATCACTTTACATCCTGTACCATTATTGAAAAATTTAAATTTACATTGAATTATGGCATTGATGCTGATTTCATTTTAATTGATTCGAATTGAAATATGTTGACAATGTATATTGATAGACATTAAACATGCTATGTGTATGGTCAAAGGAAAGATTATCAACCCAAAATCGATGAACACAAAGAAAAACATCACCTTCAAAAATAATACTGAATAAATGTATTTCGCGCATTTGTCGAGATCACTTTTCTGCAACTTTTCGTTCAATTCTAATTGAGAATATTCACATAGAACATTACCAAAACTATGCCATGATAAATTTCTAACGTATCTAGAGAAAAGACAACTCCATTATCACAACTCTGTATAAGTCACGCAAGTTTATTGCGTTTAATGAAAGAAAATTATTTTGATGCTCACTACGCGACTTTGTTTGTACTAAAGAAATTTTTATAACCGCTTTTTAGTTACAGAAAAGCGTAATTAAAAAGCGATTGTAAAAGAAATTTCTTTAGTACAAACAAAGTTGGATTTAAATATACTCATCAGAATCATTTAAAAATTATTATTTGTACATCGACTTTAGATTAAAATCTTTGAATAACTAAATTGGATAATTATCTTGGCATTTGAATCTATTTCATTAAATTAATCTTTTATTTTACATCTTGGAAGGAAGAATGATTGAAAATATTTTTTAATATTTTAATATTTTTTGTTTTTCTCATAGAATGTTGTTTATTGTTACTTTTAGTCGAATACAAATAAATATTTTATTATACAATCTATAATCAACCAAATTTTTCGCTGATAAAAAGATAATAAGGCTGCAAGTAAAAGAGCTTTTCTCCACTATCTTTCTTTAAGTCAAAGACTTACATATATTTAATATTAATTTATTTTTAGAATAATTATGTCGGAGATAATTTATTTAACTCGTATTGAAACATTTTCTGCTGCTCATCGTTTACATTCTGTTCATTATTCTGATGATGAAAATGTTCTTATTTATGGCAAATGTAATAATAAATATGGCCATGGGCATAATTACGTTTTACACGTAACAATTTCAGGTAAACTTGATTATCGTAGTGGAATGTTAATGAATATTACCGATTTAAAATCATTAATAAAAACAGAAATAATAGATGAACTTGATCATAAGCATTTAGACATGGATGTTGAATACTTTCGAAATGGACAAATTGTTAGTACTACAGAAAATTTATGCATTTATATTTGGAAAAAATTAGAAAAAGCTCTTAATACATTTAATAATGATAAAAATCAAAATCAATCGATAAAATTATATGAAATTAAAATACATGAAACAGATAAAAATACAGTGACTTATAGAGGAGAATAAACAATTAATTACTCGTAGATCATCTTTGAATTGAATAATTCAATATTCGCTCTGATAATTATTTATTCTCAAATATAATAACTTGAAGAGTATCCATTGTTCCTCGATCTCATAGTCATTTACAAATGTTTTATTTTTTCTTTTCGGAAATTTTTATTTTGAATTTTTATATTTTTTGTGATAATGCAATACTATTCTCATTTCTATTTTATAATATTTATTTATTTTATCAATATAAAGGTGTTTGTTTGTATTTGTAATTCTTTAAATCTCATCGATATATTTTTTGAAAGCGTATAAGACATATGATATTTGCTATGATCGGAATATACTATCACTATCACTATTCTCGTACGTATAACTCTTTTAGTATTTGTTTATTCTATTTTTCTCATTCATTCCATAGTTTGTGTATATACTTTTTTTGTTTGTATTGTATACGTATATTTATCTTTTAAATAAAAAGCAAAAGGCAAATAGAATTTATTTATAACTAATTTTATCGAAAATAAACATTTAAATCTTCAACTAATTTTATTCATAATTATTTTATTATGAGTTGTAATAGTGATGTTTAAATACTCTTTTCATGTAAAATATTTGCTTCGTAAATGTGAGGTCAAATTCAATATTTTCTTGTAGATAGAAAAGATGTCTCATATCGTATCATTGCGTAGTGTCTCTTTACGTGCACTACGTGCAGGTACAACGTGTACATCTTATTCCCATCATAATCATCATGATTTAGTTTCAAACGTATTATCAACAAGTCCAACATCGACACGATTATCATCAACATTAGTTAAAAAAGTAAGAAAAAAATACAATTTTTGCAGTTTGGATCATGTATATATCCAATAACTGATGAAAGATGATTTATGTTTATTTTTAGGTGATAACTGAACAAACATTATCATTGGAAAGTAATCATGGAACATTAACAGTTCCTTCTAGTCTCTCTTATTCTACTAAGCCAACATTATTATCTTCATCAAAAGTTCGCAATAATTTTACAAGATCTTTTTACACAAGTCGAGTTCTATGTATGTAATAAAAAAATATCTCCTTTTGTTTTATATGTAAATAAATGTCGAAAAACTATGTCTATTTGTTTAGATGACTCTGTTAGTGTTAAGACGCCAACATTTCCCGAAAGTGTCAAAGAGGGAACAATTAGATTATTGAAGAAAGTTGGTGATAAAGTACAAATAGATGAGACAATCGCTGAGATTGAAACAGATAAAACAAATTTACAAGTAAACGCTCCTCAAGGTGGAACGATTGAAGCTGTTCTGGTGGAAGATGGATCAAATGTTGCCGCAGGCGCTGATTTATTTAAAATCTCTCAGGGTGATGGTGGTAAAGAAGAATCAAAACCAGGTATGTCTGAGCTGATTTTGCTCTGAAGTAGACACTTGTATCATAGTATTTATTATTTCTATTCGATACAGTAAAATCGAAAGAAATGGAGAAAGATGAACAACAACCATCGATAAAAACGAAGGACAAGCGCCAAGAAAATGAATCATCAAAAGAACAACAATCAAAAAAAGTAACTGATGAGGGTATAGGATCAGCACCGAGTAAAGTACCGACTGCTCCCCAAGTGTCCAAAACATCCACACCACAAACACCATCGAAAGCATCACAACAGGCACCATCACTACCAAGCGGTGGGGCAGATCCTAATAAGATTACGGGAACGAGAACTGAAACACGTGTGAAAATGTCGAGAATGCGTTTGAAAATAGCTGAACGACTTAAGGAGGCCCAAAATACTTGTGCCATGTTGACAACATTCAACGAAATTGATATGAGGTAAAGTTTTTTATTAAATGCTTTTTCCGTATCTGTTGAAATTAGTGTGCATGATATAATCAACTTTCTATTTATATCTATTTATTTCATTTTTTCTTTCATTTTTTAGTAATGTAATGGATTTACGGAAAAAATTTGGTGAAAGTTTTCTTAAACGTCATAGTCTTAAATTAGGCTTTATGTCTGCTTTTGTTAAAGCATCTGCTTGTGCGTTACAAGATATTCCTATAGCTAATGCAGGTAAAAGCGAAATAACTGTTTGAAATTGATGACTTATATTAATTTGTTTTGTCTAAATATTTCGTAGTGGTTGATGGTGCTGAAATTGTTTATCGCGATTATGTTGATATTAGTGTAGCTGTTGCAACACCAAAGGTATAAGATATAATTATTTATGTCAGAATTTGTCTTCTAGGATTATTCTCTTTTAAACTGTAGGCATCTATTACCAGTTGCAATCTTATCCATACCCACTGCATTTGATTGATTGACTTAAACGGTGTCTTATCTTAGGCTTCTGAACACAGGGACCAAAGCTCACTTTTCACAAGTTTCCATTATTGTTTATTCTTTTCCATTTAAAACTAATGCTATCTTAGTGGACAATTCGTCTAAAATCTTTTAAAATACGAGATCTGAATTAGATCATTGGATCAATTGGCCATTATGGATATATTCATGTTGGTATATTTTTAGGGATTGGTTGTGCCTGTATTAAGGAACGTTGAAAAAATGAGTTATGCTGATATTGAACGATCTATCGGTGAATTTGGCGAAAAGGTATGCTGTCGGATTTGATTATATATGTAAAAAATTGTAAAAGTTTGCTTATTTGAAAGGCGAAGAAAGGTTCAATATCAATTGAAGATATGGATGGCGGAACATTTACTATTAGGTATGTACTTGATTCATTCTCGAAAGTATATAGTTAATAGTATATTCTCTTATGTTTTAAGTAATGGTGGCGTATTTGGTTCTCTGTTTGGTACACCTATTATCAATCCACCACAATCAGCGATATTAGGAATGCATGGAATATTCGATCGACCAGTTGTCATTAATGGAAAGGTAAATAAGAATTAATAAAAAACGTATGTTTATTCTCGACGTTGTTTTTCTTATTTTTAGATTGAAATTCGACCAATGATGTATGTTGCATTAACATATGATCATCGTATATTGGATGGACGTGATGCCGTCCTATTTCTTCGAAAAATAAAACAAAATGTCGAAGATTCACGTGCAATTTTTCTAGATATTTAGAATATATATCTGATTTGGATAAAAATATTTATTGTCTGGAACTGACATCACAGTGAATCAATAGACATATCATTACAACATAAGAAAAAGAAATATAAAAGAATTAGTATTCATTCATTCTTTTTGTTCGAATTTATATTTCTGTAGGTGTGTTTTTATATTTACCACAAACGGTGTTCCTTTTATGTTCTCAATAGTCGCTCTCATTCTTTTTTCTCTCTCTCTTTATTAGGCTGATTCAAATATTTATGTTCTTAGCTCGTTTCTATAATTCTTTTTTTTTGTTTTTTTTAAACAAATTGATATTCAAAACAACCGAGATACTTACATCCACACATCCACTTCATCCTTGCTTAGATAATATATTTTGTTTTATCACGTATATGAAAAATAGTATAAAAAAAAACAAACATTTCATTTTTTATTTTATTTGGCTCTATATAATTTGTGCATAGAATTGGAAATGGTTTTCTTAATTTCCTCGAGAGAAGGTTCCCTTGTTTAAACATGGCTATTAATACTCATGTAGATGAGATGCTTTGCTTTCAACAAAAATACTGTTAGCTTTTTTCCGCTATTTTCGGATAGCAAAAAAAAGCTCCATGTAACTGGCTCGAGGTATAATGAATAGTGAGAATTGTATGTAGGTAAAATTGATGACGACTTTAAAAAATTAGTTAATGTTTATTAAATGTGATGAATAATGAAGATGATTTTTCTGTCTCAACGTTTAAATACTCAGTATTGTCCTGCTTACGAAAAATGCTGAATGTTCGCATTCAAAATCATTAGAATAATCATTTTTGATTCAATGTATTCTCTCTAATAATAGCTTAGCCCTAAGGCTCAAGTCATTCAGTTCTTATTCAGTTAGTTGAAACACATGGTTTGATCAACTTGTAGATTTTATTATTCAGATTCCAATGGCGAAAAACCTTTGACACATTTTTTTAGCATTACACAATTGATGACATACTAACATTATATTTAATAATCGTCTGTTTTGTGACATCATACTTCGTTGTTTCTTTTGGTGACATATACAATGATTTCCGCGAGTTTGTCGCTTATTTATTGTTTTACTCGTGCTAATAAATAGCTTGTGATGACGGATCCAGTGTAGTCGATGTTACTCAATTTTGAAACTTTATTTACTGGCTAATAGTGTTACTGTAAAGTGGGAGTTTAAATGCATTAGATTTGGAATGATAATACTACCTAAACAGTTTTGTACGTAGATTTAACTACTTGTATTTATTGTTTCTAGAAATATTTACTGTTGTATATTACAACTTTTTTTCTAACCTATCATTACACAATTTTTCTATTCCGATCTGGCTTCTCTAATTTGAATTGAGAAATAGTTCGCGGTTATGAATTGAAGGAACTACTCTCCACTTTTGTTCATATATATTCTGATCATTTGTGCTATATTCAGAATGGAATGAAAATATTGTTGCCTTGAATCTTTTTTAGTATAATTTATTCTTTCTTTCTTTCTCTCTCTCTCTCTCTTCCCATCTGCTGAACGACTGGTAATGTTCAAGTGTAAATGTATGTACAAAATCTTTTCTTCTGTTTTTTTTTTCGCTGAAAATTCTTTTCTTTTTCTTCTCGTTATTTTTTGTTCTTTTTCCCCCTCGACACCTGATGACGTTCTTGTTCTATCGAGTATTAGTAACAGAGAAGAATACTTATAGTAGCACTAGATTTAAAAGAATAGAATAGTAGTTAGTTAGAACACCATTCAGTATTCGTATATTTTTACTCTATACTTCTTAAATTTCAAAATACCTTCGTCGTCAGCTGTATATGTACAAAAAGAAGTAAAGAAAAGAAAAATGTTAGTACATTTGATTCAATCGAATGAACGATATGATTTTTAAATTGGATTGAATTTACATATTTTATTTTTTCATACTTACGCGTATTGAATGACATCGTTTTATCTTCGTTGATTAAAATTCTGTCTATCGATGCCTCACGGTCGTTATCGATGTCTTTCATTGAAACGTACACAATTTTCACAATGGTTAGATAATTCTAAAACTACGACTGAAAGAAATTATACTACAACTACTACCAACAGTTATAATCATTCAATTAAAAGACGACAACGAAAACATCAGACGAATCAGACGTATATAGATCATAGTAGATCGATTACTGACATTGAAAAAACTGTGGTTGGAAACAAGGTATGATGAAAATGATTAATAGTGCTTCTGAAAAATCTAGCGTATTGTGAATACTAATGATAGTGTTCCAGAGCTTTCTTTCTTTTACTTGTTTAAAAAGTAAGTTTTTTTGCTATGTACGATTTAGTTTGAAATCATTAATCAGAATAAAAAAGTTCATTAGATAGCTACCCACATGGATTTATAAAGAAGTTTGAAATTATGGAGAAAAAATGAGATATCTTGATGGTTGTGTCAGACACAGATGTTATGTTTTCTTTTGAAAATATTTAGAAATAATAGTATATTTCTCATGTACATAATAATCGATTCTTATATAACTCGTCGTATAATAAGACTTCTCAATACTTTTCTGTTTGATAAGGTCGCACGGGTGTAGGATAAATGTTGTTAACGCTTTTGCTAGTTTTTATTCGAATAATGATGATTACAACAGGTGCTGATGATAATCAGTAATTCGATATTTTTGGTGGCATTGATTGTATATTACACGATAGAATTGGTTTCCTTTACAGATGTTATCTTTCACTACTCTCTCAAAAGAATTATACATGATTACAACCTATAACTGAAGAACGGTTTGATTGGATATTATTTGACAAATTAATTACGTGTATAGTTTGATAGAATTGTCAACATTATCACCGATCTACGGTTAGCTACGGTTTCATGCGTTAAATTTTGAAAGGTAGATGAAAATTGTTTTTTAGTCTATGTTCAAGTTATACTGTAAGTCATTCTGTTTAAAAAATATTCACATTTTCGAACTTTTAGGACAAATTCTGTCTTATCTTTAAGACTAATTGTTAATGTTTAATATGTTCATATTTTCCATGAAATTTTATACGATTCTTTCGAACTTAACGTGATTGATAATAGAGTTTTTATGTTTACATTAATGAATACATATATATATAGTTAGACAAGATTTTTATTCGATAAATCATTGTAAGTGTCTCTTCAATAATGATGAGAATGTTGATATAGTATAGTACATTGGGTTTGATTATTGATAAAAGAATAAACGTTCATCGTGTTTAATAAATAGCTAGAAGTAAAAATAACTCATGACTAATTTTTTTTTTGTTATGATATTGAATCAAACAGATCTATGATTTATCTTTAATGAGAGAAAGATGAAACGATTCTGTGAGCCGTTGGCCAGTGTTTACTTATTTGTAATATTGCCAAGGTTATTTATCCGTTTCCTCACTCAATGAAAAGTGAGCTGAAAAAATTACATAATGGCTGAATCATTTTATTTTCAGTTAATTAATGTAATTTTTGTTTATTTCTAGACAGCTAACGGTCCAAGTGACCGTAATAGAATGGCAAAAAAAAATTATGATTTATTATTCAAATTACTTTTGATTGGTAAGTAAACTTAAGAAGTAAAGATGATAATCTCACAAAAATAGATATGCAACTGTGTGCTACGTTATGTTTAATTTCAGGAAATATATTCAAAATTCACAGACAGAATAAGTTTGTAAACATTTAACTAATTGTAATTTATTTTGTATTGTAGGAGATAGTGGTGTTGGAAAAACTTGTATTTTATTTCGTTTTTCGGATGATTCGTTTAATGCATCATTTATTTCAACAATTGGAATTGATTTTAAAATAAAAACAATTGAACTTGATGGCAGAAAAATAAAACTACAAATATGGGATACTGCTGGTCAGGAAAGAGTAAGTTATTCACTTTAATTTTTAATTCTACATAAATTTTACCTAAACAGGTCATACTTTATTTTAGTTTCATACAATTACCACTAGTTATTATCGTGGTGCAATGGGTATTATGTTAGTCTACGATGTGACCCAAGCACGTTCATTTGAAAATATCAATAAATGGCTACGTAATATCGATGATCATGCATCGGATGATGTCGTCAAAATGTTAATTGGAAATAAATGCGATATGGAAGATAAACGTTGTATAACAAAACAACGTGGTGAATTATTGGCAAGAGAACATTCAATACAATTTTTAGAGACAAGTGCAAAAAATAACATTAATATAGAAAAATCATTTTATGAAATGGCACGTTTAATATTGAAAAAAACACCGGGCAATACAAACAATCAACCACAGTCATTACCAGAATTAAACAGACCAAATCAATCAAATTGTTTAAATTGTATGTAATAAAGACGACAAGTTGATTTAACGTTTTCTATCTTGTTGTTAAATAGAAATCAGTATAAAAAAAAAGATTTTTAATTTATACCTCATAAGTAAGGCAGAAGGCTTTTAAATTTTGTGATTATATTTATCATCATGGGAAGATTTGTTTCCCCTTTTTTCTAACAGGATATGTTGTTGTTGTTTTTTTCTTTTTTGATTATTTTCCTCAAAGGACGTTTTCTTTTTATTATGTATAAACAGTCATTCATTTAACCGTCATCATTGAAATCTTTTGTAATATGTTTCGTTTGTTTGTATTTTTTTTTCTTTTTGTTGTGTCGGATGATCATGAACTTATATGTAATTGTTCTTTGAATAAAAAAAATTTTAATGGACGAACTAGCACTACGGATTTTATACTAGAAAAGTTTATAAATTGTCTTATAATCAATTAATTGAGTATCAAAGAAGATTAACGTCAAGAAATATTATATTCGCTTTTAAATTTTCTTATACACAGATATGTCAATTCAACCAAAAGTAATTTGCATCAGTGGTGGAGCTCAAGGAATTGGGCGAGTTATGATTCATCATTTTTTATCCTTATCTTATCATGTTATTTGTGCAGATATTGATGAAAACGCTGGCAAAGAGCTAGTCAACATTTATGAAGATAAAAAAGAACAATTGACGTTTGTACAAACAGATGTTACAAAGGAAGAAAGTGTAAAAAGCTTATTCGACATTGTTAAAGAAAAATTTGGTTATATTGACGTTCTTATCAATAACGCTGGCGTTTTTGTTAATTTGACGGATAAAACTGATGCAATTTCGGGAATAGAAAAACTTAGTCTCGATTCATGGAATTATTATATCAGTGTGAATTTAACAAGTGTGTTTTTAATGGCTAAATACGCCATTCCTCTCTTGAGATCAAATCCACACAAAGGTAATGCTTTTCAAAGAGATAAATTAATATGCTGATACTTTTCTCTGTTTTGTTACAGCTAGTTCTATTATCAACATGGCATCTACTCGTGCCCTAATGTCTGAACCACATACGGAACCCTATTCAGCGGCAAAAGGTGGTATAGTTTCTTTGACACATTCAATGGCAATTTCATTATCAAAAGATCAAATTCGAGTAAACTGTATAACTCCAGGTTGGATAGACGTTACCGGATCACAGAAATCAACGTCAAATATTAAACAAATAGTTCTAACAACATCTGATCATGAACAACATCCAGCACAAAGAGTGGGCGTCGGACAAGATATTGCTGAAATGGCAGCATTTTTAGCAGAAAAAGACAAAAGTGGTTTTATTACTGGCCAAAATTTTATCGTAGATGGAGGTATGACCAAGAAAATGATTTATCATGAGCATGAGTTTCATTAATACAAAATATTTCTGGTAAAATATATTGTTATCGAAACTAAATTTTTATCAAATAAAATATTTTATGAGACATTAGATCGTAATAATGTGACGTGAATTTTGTATGATAATCTTGCTGAAAACGAGTTTTTATAATAATAAAAAAATAGTATTTATTTTAGTAAATATACGTAAACATTTCGAAAGAGGAACATAAAACACCTAATCACTGATACTCTATTTCAACTATTTTAGACTTGAAACGTTTTGTTCACAGTCGACTGTCGTTCAAGACAAAAACAAGAGTCTATTATTAATATGAATATGTACATTGTGCATAGAAAGGAGAAACGCTAAAACTAATTAAAAATTTTATATGCTTTATCATGTAGAATGTTCGGTTACAGATGTAAAATCAGAATTGTTTCAATTGTATGAACTTACTCATTATATTACGATGAACATAGTATTTTTTCTTTTCTTCTTCGTGTTTTCTTTCCTGTTTGATGGTAAAGACGCAACCGTCTCCAAATAGGTGGATTTATAGTTCAAACATTGCTCTATTCAATGCACATATAAATCAGGATTGCGCTCTGTGTAGCTTTGCAGAGAGATTGAAAATATTAATATTATAGCAAAATCATCGACTTTGATGATACCAAAAATCGAAAGTCATTCTACTGTTTTTAGATAAAATTCCTAAGGCTAAAAAAATGGATTTAGAAGTCATTCGGATGGCACTTTCGAATTATATTAAAAATCGTTGATCTGATTAGATACCTCGTGCTAGCGCAAATAAGTAATTTTACTTAATTAAAATTTCATTATTTTCATTTACATCAGTCAACTCAATAGTATAAGTGATAACCATTTGAACAGCTGTCACGATCAATGGCAATTTCATTTGAATAATTTACAGTTGGTAAACCATAACAATAGGAAGGTTTGTATCTTCCAGCGAAAAAAGATAGTGCAAACAGTTGTCTTCAACATGAGACGATGTTTACGTCTGATAAATGCATGGTTAGAAAGGTATAGCTTTCTAAGCGATGCTCTGAAAACTGTGAGAATGATCTAAAAGAAAAATCCATATGAAATTCAAATTAGAATTTTTATGTTAAAAAAATTCGGTATATATTTCGTTTTAAAGAGAACACTAATCAGCTGGACCGTTTGCAAGAACGGACCCTGTAGAAACAGAAATATTGAAAATTATATTTTGGACCTTGCAACGTTAAAATGACCGATTTATACAAGTTTTACGAAAAGCTCTTGAAAATTTCCGAAAAAGCGTCTTTTATAGTATTGTGATTATTACTCTTAGACATTTTAATCATTCTTTTAGGGCAATGTCTCATTGAGAACTAAAATCTGAACCAATAACATACACATACACTTGTGTTCATTTCAGGAAATAGCAAAAAGAACGAAGGAATATAATTCGTGAAATATTTTACAAGAGATGGCGAAATAAAAAAAGAAAAAGAGAGAATAATTTGTGAAATCTTACCTTATCTGAAATATGTCGATATTTTGAAATCCTATTCTCAAAATTTTCGGGTGGAAAATTTATGGAGAACTTCACTAAACTTTTAGGGGTCAAATCATATTAAAAGGAAAGTAGTCTTTAGCAGAAAATAATATTTTGCGTTCTCTTGAAACTACTTTTTCCGTGGAGAAAGTTTGAATTTAGATCGTTATTCTTTTGCACTGCTGAAAGTTATATACTAGTTTCTTCGATTTCTTTTGACTTTTGAAATAAAACCCTTTCAGAAATGAAACAACGAAAAAAGTCAAAAATTCGGCTCTTTTACATGGTTACCCTACCTTTATTTGATATTTTAAATCCAACTAGCCACTTTTTGAGAGAAGAAATCTGCCGGAAAGACAGATTCTAAGATTGGTCTGACGCTTTTTTTATGCCAGATAACTTGAAAGTCTTATCATCTACACTACTCTTTATGATCTCAGGAAAAATCTTATACTATCTTTTACGGACTTGAAGAAAATTGGCATCTACGTCTTATTAGACCTTGTCCGATGTACTCCACTACAGACAGTTTACAGTTAAAACTCAACGATCATTCGTGATTCATAAGTGTTGCCCCATTTGTAGCGTTCTGATTAAAAAGAAAATTAAGGTCCCTTTACCCATAACAGTGTGGTATTTTCATATGAAATTTCCACTATAGATATCAATATCAACACGATTTAGCTTTAGTAAAAAAAATGAATAAATAATAATTTTTGGTTCTGTTAATGTGTTTTAGTTGAAAACTATTTGAGCGTTAAATAACTTGTTGATACTTTTCTAGAAGTTATCGGTCATGGCGGATCTAATGGACATGCGTGCACATATGTAAACACAGTTACCTGGAAAAAATAGTCACTTTTTTGTTATAGGTTCTAGAAAACCCGCTCAAAAACCATGAAACACCTATTCTATCAATACAAAAATTATGCCATTAGAAAGCTGACACTTTGGGCTATCCAACCATATGCTTTTCTCAAAATCTATATTTTTGACGAAAAGCGGCATTTCTGACCCGGGGAGCCTTAAAACAAGAAAGAACAATTGATACATAATTTACGCAAATTTTTCTATTTAACCGGAAATTAATAATAATATAGTCTTAGGACTTCCGATTGTTTTTCGGCCATGGGGGGGGAGGGACTATAGCTGTGGCGGAAAACTTAAAAAAATATCTTGCGGAAAGTGATGGAGTATAAAAAATAATTTTTTTGCGTTGCTGCTACATTTTCCGCAGCGGAAAGTAAAGGCAAAAATTTTTCTAAATGTCTAGTAATGAATTTTCTTGATGATGTTCAATGGATGTCATGCACATACATACGAATGTTGTGCTTTCTCCGCAAGTAAAAAGTAAAAACTTACTTATCATACGACTGTTCTTCTATCGAACTATTTAGTTGCATTGGGAGACAACGCAAAGAAAAACACATTTTGTTGAATTTTGTCTCTTTATCAACATAATACCATATCATTATGCGTAAGAACGATAACATAGAACAAATAAAAACTGAGAGAAATATTTCATATAGATCAGATCTTAAACATGGTGCATGGCTGGAATTGCACATGTTGAATGCACATTTGCTTCTCGAATATTAAAACAGTGATCGTCTTCTAATGCTAACCACTGTTCACTATTCTTTTCATTTATCGGATCGGGTCTTCCATAGATATCTGTGTACGAACTACTATTACCATCATCAGATGACATGGACACAACACGTAAACGTGATAATGATTTTAAATTTTCAATTGTCTGAACGCTTACATCCGAACATCTTATGTTACGACGACATTGTGTACATTGATAATTAACACAAGTTTTCCGCTGCACACTATCAGTTTTGTAGAGCAATTCTGCTACAAGTTTTGGAGACACATAGTCCGTATTTTCAGATGGAAGACGAGTTTGTTGTTGCTGAAGAATTGACGATGGAGATGCAAGACGTGATTGATTATTGAGCATCATACTTGCTGGAACAAAAGTGGGTGGAAAAGTAGGAGCCATAAGAGGACTCAGATTTGGTGTTTCATTATTGACTGATAACATAGATGTATCCACGTATGGATTTGAGTTCAAACGACTTTTTAATTGTTCTCGTAGATGTAGAGGTAACTAAGAATAATTTAGAGTATATTCATAAAGGTGATGTCGATAAAATCATTTTTTGCTTACACTATTTAACGATGTGATACAATAAGAATCCGGTTTTTTATGTAATAAACGGACTGCTAAATTACAGTCATTTTTAAGTTGAATCTAATGAAAATATTAACTATTTTTAGATGTTATAGAAAAGTCAATCAACTTACTTTTTCTTGTTCAAGTTCATTTATTGATGCTTCCAATTCACTAACTTTATTCGTGGCAGCTGTTAAATGATTTTGTAATTGAGCTTTATCAGTTCCATATTCTTCGACCTTTGAGTCAATAAAAAACAATTACAATGGACTATATGTTAAGATCACGAAGACACACATACCAGCCGTAAAAGTCGTTCCTCCAACATACTATTGAGTGTTTGTAGCTTTTTATGTGCTTCAAACAATCTAGAATGATCATCACATCAATGAAGGTTTTGGTTAAAATTGTTGTATGAATAAGTATTATATACTTCTCATATCGTTCTTTAGTTATTTGTAATTCTTGATTTAATTGATGCAATTCATTGGATTTTGGTCCCAGTTTTGATAATAAATTATTAGCGTTTTCATCAGCATACATTTTTTACAAAATCTAAAGAAAATAACGCCTTATCGATATTCGAGTAGTCAAACAAACATATATAACATGTAGAAATCAGATTATCCGTTAAATGATTGCATGTTTTAAGCTAATAAAAAAAGCTTGCTATTAAATAAAGGTAGATAAAACTAGCGTGACTTTCTTATTATCATCAAATTTCAAGAAGATTTGTAGTAAACTACAAGTAAATTTAATCCTAAATGAGTTATAATCGTCTTTATTACGTATACTTTATATGTGTAACAAAATTATTTGAAAATAAAATATTTCGATATTACATTATATTACTATGTCGAATTCGTTATTTACAAAAAACAATAGAAATGGAAACAAACACATCGTGCCACGATCAAATTAATAATGATAGAATAGTTTTTTTTACTCTTTTTCCTCACGCGTATCTGACACTAATCTCGATGATATAAATAAATTTAGATGGTAGAGAGAGAGAAAACAAAAATAAATAATAAACAGATCTTATTATAATAGAAAATAAATAACTCTCTCTGTCTTAAACAATATCTGACAAAATTTATTAACGCGTTTTCACATCTTTGTAATAAAAAATAAATAAAGTCAAAAAAAACAAAAAACATACTAACGTTGTTTTGTGAGTTTAAAACGAATATTACTATAAACTGACAACTGCATGAAGAGTGAGATACTGTTTAACACTTTAACAAGTTCACCAGGATTACAAAAAGTTGGAAACAATGTGTTGTCATTGTGAACAGTAGAAATCTGCACTAAATGGACTCCTTTCCATTTCACCTAACAACCAATGTTGACAATACTATCGATAGCACTAAAGTACAAATTTTAAAAAAAATTAATAAGTATACGTCGTATGTACACACCAAATTCTTTCAACAAAAAAAAATCCAAACAAACTTACTCATATGTTTTTTCTCTGCCAAGACAAATAGATATCGAAAAAAAAATCTGAACAAATCTAGCTACAAACAACAAATAAATAATAATGTGAGCATTTTGCTTTTGTCATTCAACACTGGATTGTTTTAGCGTAACAAAAAAATAAAATAAAACAAGAAAGAAACAAACAAGTGACTTGTTCAAAAGAGTAGCAATGAAAAATTCAAAATAACCACGAAAATTGCTCACAAAGTATCAATACACATGCCCGCATCTTGAGTTTGTGTCATCTTCTGCTTCGCTCATATGAAAAAATGTAACAGCAAACATCGTTTCGTTGAACATCATGAAGACGAGAAACTATTATGAATTTGTTCGAGACATGATAATTCTAATGGTGAACAAAATTCATAGACACCAATGGGTAACTCATGCTTTTGTAATGGTCTCCATTGCCAACCAACAGACTCAGAAATCTGAAAAAGAATGATATACAAATAAAATCACAATGTCATCAGTATCGGTTTTTCTTCTCACATACGAAAATATTGATTGATCGAGAAAGCTAGTTATGTCAGTGTCTTTGTTTCGGCTCGTGAGAAGCCTTTTTTATTTTAAAATTGTTGACTATTATTCTCGAAAACAAAAGTATCAGTTTATTGTGTGATTTTACTTGAGGGAGTTCTAACTTTGCTACTATATCGTTGTTTGGTTAAATTTTAGCGGAAACTACGAAAACTGATTCCATTTAAAAATGCATACAAAATGAATAGTTTCATATAAAATTACGACGATGTAACTGTTGTCTTCAACTTACTATCGTTTGAATATAATTATCGATATGTCCATAGTCGACAAATGCATCTTCTCCATCATCATCTTCAAAAAAATGTCGATTTTGTAAACGTCCAAATTGTAATGTCATTACACAATCGACACATACATTTAATGTACGTAATTGTGGACGAAGTTTAGCTATTGCTAATAAATTCACTTCTAATACTTCATAGCCTAGATAGAGAATGAAATAAATAACTAAACTTGATGAAAAAACAAGCTCGTTTTGCTTTTTTCCTTCTTACCAAGAATACTAAGTTCTGTCAATTGTTTACATTGCCATGCTAATAAGACCAATGGATCGGGTTCAGTTCGAAATGGATTATGATAACGTAACGCGGGCTCAGTAATACTATCCATCACATCTAAGCATTCTAATGTATTACGATAGTGAATTGATAAATAACATAACATATCAACATTTAAAGATGAACAAAAATACATTCTAAGAGAAAAGTAAATAAGTTGACCGATATTCAGGAAAAATGATTAGACTTTTGTATACCGTAAGTGTGAAAGTGGCATTTCGGGACGTAAAATTCTAGCATATTTTCGAAATGTTTCATACGCATTTATCATATGGACGGTAACGCGTAAGTTAGGTAAATTAGTTGATACTGTTTGCCATACAGAATCATTGATTTGAACAATATCACTGCGAAATTCACTAACATGCACAATAAGTCTACATTAAAAAAAGAAAAAAAAGTCTAGTAATCTTAAAATGTTGATATCAATTACTTATTTAACGGCGTACGTTGTGATTGACCAAAACAATGTAATAGATTTTCAGTTAAATATGTTGAATCGATACTTAATGTTTGTAATGCACGAAATGGACTAAAAACTTCACTGGATATATAAATATCTAAACAGAGCATAAAAAATTTAATGATTTTGACAATATCTGTCTTTAGTTAGAAAAAGTTTATTAGTTCAAAAGAAAATTATTGAATGAACAAAAAACATCTTTATTACAAAAAATGCAAGCTAACTTACTTTCGAAAAGAGTTTTCTTAACGCTTCTCAAACCACTCTTTCTTAAAAAACACAGCAATCAATTCTAGCTACGATATCTTCCTCAATCTGCCATAATAGTTTTGCTTACTAACGTTGAAAAATAAGATGAGTTGTGAAAAGAACTTTTGCAAGAGGTACTTACATAAAACACATTTATGTCGAGAAGCTATTACGTACCGGGAGTGAAATGTGTTTCACTATTTTTAATTGAGGCAAGATGAAGTGATTTCAATGTCTGATGGCGAGATTGATTCAATATTGTCATAAGATCATTGATACTGTGAAGTGCTTCAATCCAACAACCAAATGATAATTCTTCTAAATTAGGACTGCATTCAATAACATCTTTTAACAGATGAAAAATTCTAAAAAGAAGGAAAGGATTTGATTTAAAATCAAAATATTGCCTAATGTCAAATAATCATAAAAAAGCACTACGACACGTACTTATCACATAATGGGCCAGTCGGTTGTTCTTTTTCATTTAAACAAGATGAACTTGTTATCGGTCTTAATATCAGTGATTTTAATTGTCTATTACATGCTAATATTTCAAATGCTTGAAGTATTTCTTTTAATATCAAAATTTGTGTTGGATCAAAACGTAATTCAACTAATTGTGAATATAATAAAAAATTTTGCATTTTATAACGATAGGCTGATAGATTATATGTACGATCAATTAATTTCAACTGTAAACGTTGTTTTGACCATAATTTTGGATGATAAAATATTCGACGCCAATTGATGCATGTCGATGATGTATTTAATAAATCACTATCTGATAATAATGTAAATATTTCAATTAAAACAACATTTGCTAAAAGCAATCAAAATATTTATTGATGATTTAGACAATAGAAAACAGTAATAACTCCATTTGATCAAACAAAAGAGCGGATAACTTACGTAAATTATTCCATTGCTGGACAGCATCACTATTATTTATATTATTATACAATACCATTATTGTGAAAACGAAAGAAGTTGAAAAAAATATAAGTTTTAACAATGAAGAACAAAAAATAGATAGTTTCAAGAAGAAAATTTAAGAAATAAGAAAAAAAAACTAAATGAGATAATACCTAAAAAGAATAAAAACAATTTTAGAAAATGGCGGATGTGATTTTCGAACATTTGTATATCGACGAAAGAAACAGGACACGTAAAAGCTGCTGTCAATGAATACTTACAAAATTATTTGATAGATGCTACACAAATTAAAAATAATGAATTGCTTCAAAAAAGAAACGTATGTCAGCGAAAACACACAGTTAATTGCGCAGACAACTTTTTTATCTCTCAGATAAATAAGTACGTAGTTATCTTTTCTTGACATCGATTTTTTCTCTCTCACATTCATTCAGCTGATCCAACATCACTGGTGGTATAATTTGGAATAATTTCAGCTGTTTGAGATAGTTATGCATTTTTCAAAATACCTCTGTGAAGGATAGAAATGATTCTGGTCATTCCATTACAATATAATAAAAAATTACAGTTAAGTTTAAGCGGGTAGCAAAAGTTGCAGAGAGTAAAAGTAAAGTAAACAGCTGTTTTTCGTCGTCCATCATCTACTCCGTAATAAATTGGACTATAATACAAAATTAAATAAGAGATGAAGCAAGATTTTAAGTGTTTTAATCCATCTAGACGATATAGCGATTACTTTAAACATATGATAAATCGACAAGGTCTAGTTGATGCTGACAGCCCTCTTGATCAACAGATGTCGCCCATATCCGGGATAATATTAAGCAATTCTCTTGTTTTTGAAACAAAATGAAAATAAAAAAAGATTTAAATCTTCTTGAACCTTCATCGAAATCATATACGAGGATGTGACGAAAGAAAAAAAGTGGGGGGGTGTGTGCAATAGTGAAGATCAACGTCATATGATCTTTTTTCTGGTAGTCGGTTTTTCAAACGAGCACATTGTAACGTTGAGATCTTATCAATAAAACCTCTATAGCAAATCTACTAAAAAAAGTGGGAGGGTGCGCGGGGGGGGGGGGGGGGGCGGGCGGGGGCGCGGGGGG